TGCCATATAAATTTTTCAAAGGACCAAATAAAAGAGCTCAGTTTTGAGTGAAAAGACCAAAGAAGAAACCCTCGCTTATATACCGTTATGCGAGTGAAAGGCCCAGTCTGCGTGGACTCCATTTGTAGGAGGTTAATTTTAGGCCCAGCCCATATTGGAATCACTGCAACCGTAAATCTAGCATAGTTTTGTTAGAAATTTGCTCACGTTACTATGGTTTTGTTAAATATAATTATTAATACGAAGTCCAAATTTTTTAATTATAAATACGTTTTCTTAAACAACTACCCACTACACACATAATTAATGATGATTTACTCTCTTGCATGAATATCGGGAAGCATGATAATCTGATTGCTTCTATACTCAACTATAAAACAAGAAAAAAATATGCTTTTCTCTCTCTCCATATCTTGGCTCTCGTGTATCCTCCTCACAAGGAACCAAAAATACTCCATCTCCCCCAAACACACAAATAAACTTATCTTGAAATTGAAGCTCCGAGCCGTTCCAAAAAAACTAAATCCCAAGGCGGCCGAAGATAATTTAGACGAAGACGAAAATTCTGTGTCTGAACACAAAATAAAAAAAAAAAAAACCAAATTGTAACACCCCACTTTGATTTTAAAGAAATTCCGGACTTTCTAAATATCAGTGTAAAATTTTCAAAATCATTTTCGAAAATTCAATGGGTGTTAAACAACATTTTTCATAACCCAAGTCTTATCTGGGCTCGCGGAGATTCATTACCCGGTTTTCACAAACGGTTTTCATTAACCGAAACACATCACGAGACATAATACTCAACATGCATATATCATCAACCATAATACCCAACAATTCGGGTTCCACAAATTTTCCAAAACAACAAATCATAGGTTTTTGGAAAATATCATAATCAAGTCCCAACATAATGGTTCATAAAACCTTATTCATACGGAAGCGATAAACAAATAAAACAACCGACCCACTCGCCTCTTCTCGTCACCCAGCTCCTGCTTAACCTGCATCGGTAAAAGATGCCCGGCGACATGAAGGAGACGTGGGTTAGAGACGACAAGGGTATAGCACCACACCTCCATCGAAAAACTCTATCAATGGCGAGGATGTCGATTCGAAGCCTCTGGCACATGGAGACGACCCATCGAAGCAGATGTCGACATCCTTCGGTGGAGGTGTCGTCAAATCGAATGAGTGAATCTATTGTTATCCACGGCGGCATTGTTGTTGTCACTGGTATCGAGAAGAAGATGAAGCGCGCGGAGCGGTTGGGCATGCCGGTGTAGGTGACTGAAGAGGAAAAGCTTAATTCTCGATATGTGCGCGTCACCACGAAGGAATGTAGTAAACATATACACAAATTATACGTTAGTTATACATAATTTGTCTGTGTGTTTTTTTTTTTTTAGTGCGGAAAGTTGTTGGTTGAACTTTGTAAATGTCATGTAAAGTAGTTATGTGTTGTTTATCTTATGTATAACTACATTTAATTTGGATTTTGCAGTCATTCAAAATTGTGTAGTATATTTTTATCTCGTTTTAGTGTTGTTTATCTTATGTATAATAATTGTTTATCTTATGTATAATAATCTTAGAGCACTGTCATATCATGTTTATTTGACGTATATATATACAATATATATATATATATATACAAATTGCAAAGAACAATTTATTTTCTTTCCAATCCATTCAAAATTGTATATTATGTTTTCATCCCGTTTTAGTGTTGTTTATCTTATGTATAATAATCTTAGAGCACTTTCAGATCATGTTTATCTTACGTGTATATACAGTATATATATATATATATATATACAAATCACGAAGAACTGTCAGATCATGTTTATCTAACGTATATATACAATATATATATACAAATTGCGAAGAACAATTTTTTCCTTTACAATCCATAAATTCTAGGCTTTAGATTTGTGAAAAATTGAAATATTTGAGTTTACTATGTGTTGGTGGTTCATTTTTGGTTGAATTAACATACACAAAATATACTACAATTATCTAAAATAACTAGATTCGTAAAAAAAAATACACAACATATACTTTCGTTTCACCATAATTTATGTTGGGTTTCAGTGTACGCAACATATACTTTAGTTAAAAATAACAATTACCTTAATTGGAACAAGAAAAAAGGCACAAGAAATAAGCTAATTTAATAATTAATGGACAAAAGAAAATTATTACACCAAGCCATATACAAAGAATCTTCAAAGAAGTAATTTTAATAACAATTCATTCAGATGTTTTATTTACTTTTCCTGGCGATAAGGCATACGGTTGCCTACGGACAATAAGCCAGATATCCTTACAATACTGCACTGCACTTTTATTTGGAAATCATTGTCCGATATCTGCAATGTCATCGACCACTTCGAAACATCATATGTGTTTGTTTATCTCACGTATATCTTCCGTATAGTTTGTCGTTATAACCACAATATCTGCAACATCATCGACCACTTCGATATATCCTCTGTGTTTGTTTATCTCACGTATCTTCCGTATATTTTGTCGTTACAACCACAATATCTGCAACATCATCGACCACTTCGATATATCCTCTGTGTTTGTTTATCTCACGTATCTTCCGTATAGTTTGTCGTTATAACCACAATATCTGCAACATCATCGACCACTTCGATATATCCTCTGTGTTTGTTTATCTCACGTATCTTCCGTATATTTTGTCGTTACAACCACAATATCTGCAACATCATCGACCAGTTCGATACATCCTCTGTGTTTTTTTATCTCACGTATATCTTCCGTATAGTATGTTGTTGCAACCACAATATCTGCAACATCATCGACCACTTCGATACATCCTCTGTGTTTGTTTATCTCACGTATATCTTCCGTATGATTTGTCGTTACAACCACAATATCTGCAACATCATCGACCAGTTCAATACATCCTCTGTGTTTGTTTATCTCACGTATATCTTCCGTATAGTATGTCGTTGCAACCACAATATCTGCAACATCATCGACCACTTCGATACATCCTCTGTTTTTGTTTATCTCACGTATATCTTCCGTGTGATTTGTCATTACAACCACAATATCTGCAACATCATCGACCACTTCGATACATCCTCAGTGTTGGTTTATTTCACGTATATCTTCCGTATATTTTGTCGTTTCAACCACAATATCTGCAACATGCTCAGCGAATCATAAGAAATATCCTACACGA